GATGGGGATGGGCATGTGGAATGGGGGATGCATGTGGGATGGGGGATGCATGTGGGACGGGGGATGCATGTGGGACGGGGGGGGATGCATGTGGGATGGGGGAATGCATGTGGGATGGGGGATGCATGTGGGATGGGGGATGCATGTGGGATGGGGATGCATGTGGGATGGGGGATGCATGTGGGATGGGGGATGCATGTGGGATCGGGATGCATGTAGGATCGGGATGCATGTGGGATGGGGGATGCAGGTGGGACGGGGGATGCATGTGGGACGGGGGATGCATGTGGGATGGGGGATGCATGGGGATGGGGGATGCATGTGGGATGGGGGATGCATGTGGGATGGGGGATGCATGTGGGATGGGGGATGCATGTGGGATGGGGGATGCATGTGGATGGGGGATGCATGTGGGATGGGGGATTCATGTGGGACGGGGATGCATGTGGGACGGGGGATGCTGTGGGACGGGGATGCATGTGGGATGGGGGATGCATGTGGGATGGGGATGCATGTGGGATGGGTGCATGTGGGATGGGGGATGCATGTGGGGGGGGATGCATGTGGGATGGGGGATGCATGTGGGATGGGGGATGCATGTGTGGGGGATGCATGTGGGATGGGGGATGCATGTGGGACGGGGGATGCATGTGGGACGGGGGATGCATGTGGTGGGGGGGGATGCATGTGGGATGGGGGATGCATGTGGGATGGGGGATGCATGTGGGATGGGGGATGCATGTGGGATGGGGGATGCATGTGGGATGGGGGATGCATGTGGGATGGGGGATGCATGGTGGGATGGGGGATGCATGTGGGATGGGGGATGCATGTGGGATGGGGGATGCATGTGGGACGGGGATGCATGTGGGACGGGGGATGCATGTGGGATGGGGGATGCATGTGGGATGGGGGATGCATGTGGGATGGGGGATGCATGTGGGATGGGGGATGCATGTGGGACGGGGGATGCATGTGGGACGGGGGATGCATGTGGGATGGGGGATGCATGTGGGATGGGGGATGCATGTGGGATGGGGGATGCATGTGGGATGGGGGATGCATGTGGGATGGGGGATGCATGTGGGATGGGGGATGCATGTGGGACGGGGGATGCATGTGGGATGGGGGATGCATGTGGGATGGGGGATGCATGTGGGATGGGGGATGCATGTGGGATGGGGGATGCATGTGGGATGGGGGATGCATGTGGGATGGGGGATGCATGTGGGATCGGGATGCATGTGGGATGGGGGATGCATGTGGGACGGGGATGCATGTGGGACGGGGGATGCATGTAGGACGGGGGATGCATGTGGCGGGGGATGCATGTGGGACGGGGGATGCATGTGGGACGGGGGATGCATGTGGGATGGGGGATGCATGTGGGATGGGGGATGCATGTGGGATGGGGGATGCATGTGGGATGGGGGATGCATGTGGGATGGGGGATGCATGTGGGATGGGGGATGCATGTGGGATGGGGGATGCATGTGGGATGGGGGATGCATGTGGGATGGGGATGCATGTGGGATGGGGGATGCATGTGGGATGGGGATGCATGTGGGATGGGGGATGCATGTGGGATGGGGGATGCATGTGGGATGGGGGATGCATGTGGGATGGGGGATGCATGTGGGATGGGGGATGCATGTGGGATGGGGGATGCATGTGGGATGGGGGATGCATGTGGGATGGGGGATGCATGTGGGATGGGGGATGCATGTGGGATGGGGGATGCATGTGGGATGGGGGATGCATGTGGGATCGGGATGCATGTGGGATCGGGATGCATGTGGGATCGGGATGCATGTGGGACGGGATGCATGTGGGACGGGGGATGCATGTGGGACGGGGGATGCATGTGGGATGGGGGATGCATGTGGGATGGGGGATGCATGTGGGATGGGGGATGCATGTGGGATGGGGGATGCATGTGGGATGGGGGATGCATGTGGGATGGGGGATGCATGTGGGATGGGGGATGCATGTGGGATGGGGGATGCATGTGGGATGGGGGATGCATGTGGGATGGGGGATGCATGTGGGACGGGGGATGCATGTGGGACGGGGGATGCATGTGGGACGGGGGATGCATGTGGGACGGGGGATGCATGTGGGACGGGGGATGCATGTGGGACGGGGGATGCATGTGGGACGGGGGATGCATGTGGGACGGGGGATGCATGTGGGACGGGGGATGCATGTGGGACGGGGGATGCATGTGGGACGGGGGATGCATGTGGGACGGGGGATGCATGTGGGACGGGGGATGCATGTGGGATGGGGGATGCATGTGGGATGGGGGATGCATGTGGGATGGGGGATGCATGTGGGATGGGGGATGCATGTGGGACGGGGGATGCATGTGGGACGGGGGATGCATGTGGGACGGGGGATGCATGTGGGACGGGGGATGCATGTGGGACGGGGGATGCATGTGGGACGGGGGATGCATGTGGGACGGGGGATGCATGTGGGATGGGGGATGCATGTGGGACGGGGGATGCATGTGGGACGGGGGATGCATGTGGGACGGGGGATGCATGTGGGACGGGGGATGCATGTGGGACGGGGGATGCATGTGGGACGGGGGATGCATGTGGGATGGGGGATGCATGTGGGATGGGGGATGCATGTGGGACGGGGGATGCATGTGGGACGGGGGATGCATGTGGGATGGGGGATGCATGTGGGATGGGGGATGCATGTGGGATGGGGGATGCATGTGGGATGGGGGATGCATGTGGGATGGGGGATGCATGTGGGATGGGGGATGCATGTGGGATGGGGGATGCATGTGGGATGGGGGATGCATGTGGGATGGGGGATGCATGTGGGATGGGGGATGCATGTGGGATGGGGATGCATGTGGGATGGGGGATGCATGTGGGATGGGGGATGCATGTGGGATGGGGGATGCATGTGGGATGGGGGATGCATGTGGGATGGGGGATGCATGTGGGATGGGGGATGCATGTGGGATGGGGGATGCATGTGGGATGGGGGATGCATGTGGGATGGGGGATGCATGTGGGATGGGGGATGCATGTGGGATGGGGGATGCATGTGGGATGGGGGATGCATGTGGGATGGGGGATGCATGTGGAATGGGGGATGCATGTGGGATGGGGGATGCATGTGGGACGGGGGATGCATGTGGGACGGGGGGGGGATGCATGTGGGATGGGGGATGCATGTGGGATGGGGGATGCATGTGGGATGGGGGATGCATGTGGGATGGGGGATGCATGTGGGATGGGGGATGCATGTGGGATGGGGGATGCATGTGGGATCGGGATGCATGTAGGATCGGGATGCATGTGGGATGGGGGATGCAGGTGGGACGGGGGATGCATGTGGGACGGGGGATGCATGTGGGATGGGGGATGCATGTGGGATGGGGGATGCATGTGGGATGGGGGATGCATGTGGGATGGGGGATGCATGTGGGATGGGGGATGCATGTGGGATGGGGGATGCATGTGGGATGGGGGATGCATGTGGGATGGGGGATTCATGTGGGACGGGGGATGCATGTGGGACGGGGGATGCATGTGGGACGGGGGATGCATGTGGGATGGGGGATGCATGTGGGATGGGGGATGCATGTGGGATGGGGGATGCATGTGGGATGGGGGATGCATGTGGGATGGGGGATGCATGTGGGATGGGGGATTCATGTGGGACGGGGGATGCATGTGGGACGGGGGATGCATGTGGGATGGGGGATGCATGTGGGATGGGGGATGCATGTGGGATGGGGGATGCATGTGGGATGGGGGATGCATGTGGGACGGGGGATGCATGTGGGACGGGGGATGCATGTGGGACGGGGGATGCATGTGGGATGGGGGATGCATGTGGGATGGGGGATGCATGTGGGATGGGGGATGCATGTGGGATGGGGGATGCATGTGGGATGGGGGATGCATGTGGGATCGGGATGCATGTGGGATCGGGATGCATGTGGGATGGGGGATGCATGTGGGACGGGGGATGCATGTGGGACGGGGGATGCATGTGGGATGGGGGATGCATGTGGGATGGGGGATGCATGTGGGATGGGGGATGCATGTGGGATGGGGGATGCATGTGGGATGGGGGATGCATGTGGGATGGGGGATGCATGTGGGATGGGGGATGCATGTGGGATGGGGGATGCATGTGGGATGGGGGATGCATGTGGGATGGGGATGCATGTGGGATGGGGGATGCATGTGGGATGGGGGATGCATGTGGGATGGGGGATGCATGTGGGATGGGGGATGCATGTGGGATGGGGGATGCATGTGGGATGGGGGATGCATGTGGGATGGGGGATGCATGTGGGTTGGGGGATGCATGTGGGATGGGGGATGCATGTGGGATGGGGGATGCATGTGGGATGGGGGATGCATGTGGGATGGGGGATGCATGTGGGATGGAGGATGCATGTGGGATGGGGGATGCATGTGGGATGGGGGATGCATGTGGGATGGGGGATGCATGTGGGATGGGGGATGCATGTGGGAGATCATGTGGGGATGCATGGCGGTGTATCGGGGGGATTGTGGGGGGTGATGGATCGTCAGGGAAGCCGTTTGGAACAGAAGCACTGCCACCCGCCGCCCCCGTCCACCCGTCACCTCCTCTCGCTCTCTCGTGCCATCAAGTTGGGTGATGGATCGTCAGATAAGCCGTTCCGGACAAGAAGCACGGCCATCCGCCGCTCCTTTCCACTCCTCACCTCCTCTCACTCTCTCGTGCCATCAACCCCTTCTCACTCCACCCCATCCCCCTCCACGCCCCTCCCCACCCCTCCCCACCCCCCTTCCACTATGCACAGCAAGGGCAAGTTCCTACCAGTGCAGCAGGAGATAGTGGGGAAGAGCGTGGAGATGATCCTGGCGGAGGGGAGCGGTGCCATGATCAGCCTTTCCCTCAGCTCCTCACCTCCTTTCACCCTCTCGTGCCATCAACCCCTTCTCACCCCCATCCCCTCCCCACCCCCCATGCAGAGCAAGAGCAAGTTCCTACCAGTGCAGCAGGAGATACTGGAGAGGAGCGTGGAGATCATTCTGGCGGAGGGCGCCCAGCTGGGGGAGAGCGCGCCCTATGTGCCCTCCGCCCTTTCCAATGGCAGCGCTGCCTCCTCCTATGCCGCGTAAGACCCAAGACCCAAGACCCCTCCCCCTCTCTCTCTCCTCCTCTGCTGCGTGAGCCCCCGGCCACTCTTTTCCACCATTCACCGTGCCTCACAGTTACCACTCATGCGCTTTTTCTTCACTAACTGCTGCACACGCAATGCATCACCCATGAGCATGCCACGCTCACCGCTCACCGCTCACCACTCACCACTGACCACTCACCACTCACCACTGACCACTCACCACTCACCACTGACCAACCCCTCTGCGGCACGCCCGCGCACCTGCTTGCCTGTGCGCACCTGCTTGCCTGTGCGCACCTGCTTGCCTGTGCGCACCTGCTTGCCTGTGCGCACCTGCTTGCCTGTGCGCACCTGCTTGCCTGTGCGCACCTGCTTGCCTGTGCGCACCTGCTTGCCTGTGCGCACCTGCTTGCCTGTGCGCCCCTGCTTGCCTGTGCGCCCCTGCTTGCCTGTGCGCCCCTGCTTGCCTGTGCGCCCCTGCTTGCCTGTGCGCCCCTGCTTGCCTGTGCGCCCCTGCTTGCCTGTGCGCACCTGCTTGCCTGTGCGCAAGAACCTGCTGTGGCAACGCCGCCGCGGCACAATGCATTACCCATGCGCATGGCAGCAGTGACCACTGACCCCGCCACTACCCGCCATGCCATGCACCCCCTTTACCCCCTTCCAGGCGCAAGAACCTCCTGTGGCAACGCCGCCGCCGCACCGCCGCCAAGCAGTGAGGGCAGTCGCAGTGAGGGCAGTCGCAGTAGACACACACAACGCTGGGGGCATGGCACAGCAGTGAGGGCATGGCACAGCAGTGAGAGCACTGAACAGCACAGCGCTGGGCTGTGCTGTGCTGTGCTGCGCTGCGCTGTGTTGAGCTGGGGAAACACACAGGGGCAGGCATTGTTGGTGTGTGTTGGGGTACCTGTTACGGTATGTCATGTGTAACCCACACAGGGCACACGTACTCATAAGTGGGATGTTGAGTGCGGGTAAGGTAACACAGCAGCTCTAGGTGTAGTGAGGGTGTTTTTGAGACGTCTCAAAAACACCCTCACTATAAGTGGGATGTTGAGTGCGGGTAAGGTAACACAGCAGCTCTAGGGGTACCGGGAGGGATACGGTAGCTAGTTTGGTGTCTTAGTGCACCCAGCAGCAGGGGTGTGGTGTGGTGTGAGGAACTGAGAGGGGGAAGGGCTTGCTGCCCCTCCAGCCAAGGGATGAAGGTGATCCCAATCCGATCCACTCCCCACCTGAGGACGTGCGGCCAGTCTCTCAGGCATGGGGGGATTTCACGAGGGCTGGCAGCTAGGTGGCTCAGCGAGCATCGCAGTGCAGTAGGATTTGCTTAGATTCTATCTTGTTTACTGTAAGCTATACCGGAATTTTGCTTCACGGATGTTGAAGAGGCTCAGAACATGCTATGCTACGGTACTGCCAATTGCCCTGCCCACACCCCTTGTGTCTTCGGGAAGGGAGGTGCTTGTTGTGAGCAACCTGTCGTGAAGCGGAAGAGGCAAAGTAAGGGGAGAGACAGTGAAGACCAGTGAATGTGGAGGAAGCATTGGAGGAATAGGAGGACGTCGGCTGACGGCTGAGCCTCAAGAGGTACCGTAAGTCAAGAGGCACCAACATTACAGTAGGGCAGTCACCCATTGGGTTGGTGTGTGCTAGGTACTACTACAGGTTCATATGTGAAGTGACCAAGCTGTAAAATGTTTTATTGCTCAAGCAGGTGTAATATATACACTGGGGAGCAAGCAACTAGAGCACTGGCATGGATAGTGGCCAAATGATACCAACACTGACTCAGGGAAATAACCCTTCAGCTGCACACACCAGCAGCACCAGAAGCAGCAGCAGCAAGTCTTTGAACCGTGTGACACCTTTGAACCAAACTATCAGCCATGCTCTCAGCAGCAGTTGGCAGCACGCTTGCACCGCCAAGCATTGGCCCTCGCCTCCTTTCTCCTCCGCTTCTTCCCCTCCATCCTCCCACCCTCCCCCTCCCGCCCTCGTTTGCCACCAACCCCCCTCCCCTTCCCCCTGCCCTCCCTCCTGCCCTCCCTCCTGCCCTCCCTTCTCCCCCTGCCCGTTCCTGCGCCCGCCTCTCTGCCACTGCTTCCCAAGCTGCTGGCCGTACTGTCTGTGCAGGTGCAGCCATGGCCATGGCAGATCACCGATGCAGCATGGTCAACCAAGCCGTGCACTGCTCCGCATCCTCTCCCTCCACCCTTCGCTGCTCGCCCTCCTCCCTCACCTCACTCTCGCCCTCCTCCCTCACCGCACTCTCGCCCTCCTCTCCCCCACTCTCCACCTCTCCCCCACCTTCCCCTCCACCTCCTCCCCACCCTCAACCCCATCCATGTCCACATCGCCCTCCCCTCCCTCGCGCCTGCCCTCTCGTGTCATCCCTTCCTCCCCCCTCCCTTCTCCCCCCACTTCTCCCCCCACTTCTCCCCTCTCCTCTCCACTTTCCTCTCCTTCACCCACTCCCCTCTGCTGCGTCTCATCGCCCACCATTCCCACACATTCCTCTTCCACCTCATCCTCTCCCTCCCCCACTCCCTCCCCCACTCCCTCCCCCACTCCCTCCCCCACTCCCTCCCCACTCCCTCCCCCACTCCCTCCCCCACTCCCACCCCTCTCCCTGTGTCTGCCCTGACCCCAACCTATTTTCCCCACCTGCCCTCTCGCCCTCTGCCACCATCCCCCCTTCCCCTTCTCGTTCAACCTCCCCTCCCTCCCCTGCTGCTTCCCCCCCCAAATCCCCAGCCTCCGCCCCGCCCCTGTCTGCCCCACTCGCGATCCCCCCAGCCGCCTCTCCTCCTCCTGCCCCTCCTCCGCCTGCTTCCGCTCCCCCCTGAGCACCCTCTCCCCCCGCTCCCCCCGCTCCTCCCCCTCTCGTCCGCCCCGCACGCCTTTTCCTGGGCTTCACCCCCACATACTCGCCTCCTCCGCGCCTCCCCCGCACCACGTGCACGCTGCGCCCGCACACGCCCACCTCCGCGTCGTCCCCCACCGCCGCGCACCCCCACACGTCCAGGTGGCGCAGCCCCTCCGCGCGCGCCAGCCCCGCGGGCAGCTCCGCCAGCGCGGAGCACTCGCGCAGGTGCAGGGAGTGCAGCGCGCGGAGGGACCCGAGGTTGGGGGGGAGCGCGGCGAGCGACGGGCAGTACGAGAGCGAGAGGACGCGTAGCGCGGGCAAGCGGGGGAGCGACGCGGGAAGATGCGTGAAGGCGCGGCAGTGGTTGATCGCGAGGCGCGCAAGGCGCGGCAGCGGCGCGAAGTCGTCCGGGAGGTGCGTGAGGAGGTCGCAGCTGGTGACGTCGAGCGACTCGAGCGCGGGGAGGCGCACGACGGACGCGGGGAGGCGAGCGAGCGCGGAGCAGCGCTCGAGGGCGAGGCGCTTGAGCGCGCGCAACTGGCCAATGTCGTCCGGGAGGGCGCGCAGCGCGGGGCAGGAGGCGAGAGAGAGCGTATGGAGGCGCGGGAGGGTGCAGAGCGACGCGGGGAGCGCGGCGAGGGAGAGGCAGTCCGAGACGCGCAGCTGCTCCAGACACGTCAGCCCGCCCAGAGTGTCCGGAAGCGCCGCGATTGGCACGTTCGTTATAGTCAGCTCCTTTAACGCGCCCAGCTGGCCGATGGAATTCGGCAGTGACGTGAGCGCGCCACACGAGCTCATGCTGAGGCGCGTCAGCGCGCCGAGCCTGCTTATGGCGGCGGGTATGGCGGTGAGCGCGCCGCACCGCAGCACCGCCAGCGTCTGCAGCGCCGTCAGGCGGCCGAGCGACGTGGGCAGGCTCCGCAGCGCGGGGCAGTCCTCCAACTCGAGCGACTCGAGCTCCGCCAGCTGGCCCAGCGATTGCGGAATTGACGAGAGTTCGGACGCGACAGAGACTTTCAGCGCGCGGAGGGCGGAGAGCGCGGAGAGCGCGGGGGGGAGGCGCTCGACGTGCATCAGGCGGACGAGCGAGAGCGAGGTGAGCGCGGTGAGGCGGCAGACGACGGGGGGGAAGGAGTAGAGCGCGGAGAGGTCCGACAGGGTGAGCGCGCGGAGGGACGACGCGAGCGCGTCGAGCGCGGGGGGGAGGTGGGTGATGCGCGAGCAGGATTGGAGCGTGAGCGACTGCAGCGACGAGAGGCGCGCAACGCGCGCGGGGAGCGCGACGAGCTGCGTGAAGCCGTGCAGCCCGAGGTGCGTCAGCGCCGGCAGCGCCCACAGCGCGGTCGGCAGGCGGCGCAGTCGGCCGAGCGGCGCGCGGCACGCCATGTGCAGCTCCAGGTGGCGCAGCGCGGGGGCCAGCGGAGGCGGGGGAGGGGCGGGCGTGACGGCGGTGGCAGTGACTTCGGCGGTGCTTGCAGCCCCGTCCTGTTCGCGGTCAGCCGCGCCGCCCGCGTCCCGTCCTTCCGCGTCTTCTTCCCCTCGTCCGCCTCCGCCTCTGCCTCCGCCTCCGCCTCCGCCTCCACCTCTGCCTCCGCCCAATTCCCCATCAGCGAATCAAGGCTCGACACGTTCTTCAGCACCACGTGCGCCAGTCGCGGCAGCGCCAGCAGCGCGGCCGGCAGCGCGCTCAGCGACCCGTACGGCGCCAGCACTAGCCGTTCCAGTGACGTCAGCATCCCGATCGACGCGGGCAGCGTGGTGAGCGGCGCCTCGACGATCTCGAGCTCGCGGAGGGCTGGCGCCGCGCCGATGTCGTCGGGGAGGGCGCGGAGGTGGCGGCATTGGCGGATGGTGAGGAGCGCGAGGGATGCGAGGGAGATGGGCGGAAGGCGGTGAGCGATGGCGTCCTCGAGGCGCAGCTCCTCCAGCTTGCGCCACTCCTCCCCCACGTTCGGCAGCGCGCACGTGATGTTGCGCAGGTGCAGGCGCCGCAACTCCTTCAGCGCGCCGATGCTCTCCGGAATGCCCTCCAGGCGGTACCACCCGTGAATTTCCAGCGCCGTCAGCGCGCTCAGCGCGCCAAGTTGCGTGGGAAGCTGGCTCATCTCGCGGCAGTTCGCCATGCTGAGGCGGGATAGCCGCGGGAGCTGGCCGACGGACGCGGGGAGGCTCGTGAGTTTGGGGCAGACAACGGAGAGCTCCTCGAGCGCGCGCAGCGCGCCGAGCTCGTCGGGCAGAACGCGGAGGCGCTTCAAGCAGAGCTTGAGAACGCGCAGCGACGAAATCGACGCGAGCGAGGAAGGAAGCTTCGTGATGTTGCCGAGACTGTGCTTCAAGGTGAGCTCCTCGAGGCGCGACGCGCTGCGAAGGAAGCGGCCAAGGCAAGAGAGCGTGATGCGGAAGTGGGGCGCGCCGGTGTACTGCGGCTCGTCCAGGCGCAAGCGGGAGAGCTGCGGGCACGCGGAGGGCAGCGCGCGCAGGAACGCGTCGTTGAAAAAGTCGACGCTCTTGTCGGCTAGCGTGAGCGAGTCCACGTTGGGGAAGCGCGCCAAGCCGCGCAGCAGCTCGCCCGCGTGGAGGTGGCGCGGGGCGGTGACGTGGACGGCCTGCTGCGAGAGTTGCGCCAGGCGCAGCCAGCGGCGACACACGAGCGCGTGGTGCAACGTCTTGCCGCCAGAAGCACGAACGAGAATCGCGGAGAGCACGTCGTCGGGCAGATCGTTAATAAAATCCTTGCCCGGTGGCAGAGCGCCTTTGACTAATTCAAAATCACGCAGCTCTTCCACCTCGCACGCAACCGGCGGTGCGCTCGTGGCGTCCATGGCTGCCGCGGATGGAACGTCTCCGTGCGACGGCGCGTTGCTCCGGAAAGCCTAGGTATGCTGGGGGATTCGGATGAGGTGAGGAGACGGAAGTATGGAAGCGGGGAGCTGAAGAGGTGATGGGAGGAAGAGTCAAATGGTGCAGGCGTTTGCATGCAGCCCTCATCAGCTGGAGTGGAGTTCTCTTATTCAAATGCTGACTGTGCTTTGCTTTGCTTGCACTCTGCTTCACTGCCGCTAGCGCGCTTCATATATGTCCCACTCTCCGCTCGGACTTGCAGTGGGAGGCGGGGAACGTCATGCTGACGAGTGGCGCTTGCGGTGTTTTGGATGAGGCGGGAGGGACGGGCGGGCGCAGAAGGGGGGCCTGCGCTCCGCAAATTCGGGTACTTGCGCGGCTTCTTCCTCCTGAGCTGAGGGCTGGAGGCCAGGCGCGACGGCACAGCGGGAGGGAGCGTTTTATTGACGCGAGATGAGTGTAGCGGATGAGATTGAAACACTGTAGCAGGTTACAGTACCTCATGGCGGTGATGGGTCGCCCTTCCCTTCCGAGGTTCCGCTGTGAGGGTTGACGTGCATGGCGGTTGGTTTGGATGTCCAGCTGATGCCAAACCTGGAGAGAAAATATCCTCGTTTAGCTACAGTTTGCCCATAAAAACTTTCAAAACATATCATATATACGGATTTTATACCCTGTACCCATCGTAACTAAGTCCCTTATTCTATATGATCATAAAATCGGCACAGGAAGTTTAGAACCATACTATTGCAAGGCCCTCGTTTTCCCAACTCAGCTGTGTTTCACGTGTTAGTACCCAAAGTTGTGCCTTTGAAGTGCTGTGCCGTGGGACCAGCCTCAAGGCTACAACTGCTCATGGCGTGTGCTCAGCACGGCCCAGGTACGCCTGCTCGTATGCACGGGCGCTTCACTCTCATTTCTCTGCCAGCACTCTTCCCGCTCACAACGGGCAACACCTGCTGCCGGGTTTGGGTCCGCCACACGCCTTACGGCCGATGGGGCAGCAGCCCCACGTGCGCATGGTGACGTTGCGGAAGCACGCGCCCACCTTGCAGCACATGATGCCCCCACAGCACGAGTACTCGTGCGTGTCCTGCCCCGCCGCCGCCAGTAGCCAGTTCGTGGAGGAAGGGGGGGAGGAGGGGGGGTGGGTCCGGACGGGACGATACAGATATGAACGGATTAAAAGAGACATCATTATCCCACCAAGAGCAAGAGAAGGCGGATGTGAAGGGGAAAACGCCGCGGACAGCACGTTTTCTCACAGTTGGCTCTTCCGCTCACGGGTCTTCCGCTCACGGCTCTTCCACTCACGGCTCTTCCGCTCACAGCTCTTCCACTCACGGCTCTTCCGCTCACAGCTCTTCCGCTTACGGCTCTTCCGCTCACGCGGCTCTTCCGCTCACGGCTCCTTCGCTCACAACTCTTTCGCACACCCTGTTTCCCTGTTCCCCACAGCTTCCCCCGTGGACCCGCAACATTGGCTCCCTGTTTCCTCAACGGAGGCCGTCTCGCCGCCTCGCAGTCGTCGTATTGTCATGTTTCGATTCCCACCGCCCCAGCACGACTCACGATGCAGCAGGCACCGCCGCAATAGACGCGGGGCTTCTGGCAGCCGGGATAGCCGGACATGGCGCACACGCCGGTGCCGGGCTTCGGACACTTCACCTTCCTCTTCCCCGCCGGCACTTGAAGCTGCTCTCGCCGCGCTACTTGCTCCGCCGATGACGCGACAGCCGCGTGTCCATCAGCGAAAATCGCGGACTGTCCGTCGCCTTCCACAGTGAGGCTGTTCGTATGAGAGACTGAATGGGAAAGCGGAAGGAGCGCGATGATTGCTATCAGTAGGCACGTCAATGTGTTCGACTTCATCGTGAAGGCTGCGACGAGTGGCCTAATCTAGTAAATAGCGGAGCGCGACAGAAGGAATTGGCTGTCTCGAGTTAATTCTATATGGATTGCGAGCTAAAAATGTTTCACGATTACGTTCTTGCGGGCTCATGGGGAGGGAGGCGGCAAAATCGCAATTGCACATTAGTCGTATCGAACAGGGTCGAAAGGGGGCGAGTAGGCAGTGGCCCCCGACCCGAACGCCAATGAGCCCAATCAAACTCAACCCTACCCAACTCGCACTTCCGCCACTCTGCTCCTTGCTTGCTCGTTGCGCGAGATGCACGTGGAGCTTCTGTGCGACTCGATGCTGCCGAGGAAGGAAGGGAAGGAGCGTTGACACGGGGGAAAATATTTTCGCTTACGGGGAGGCATTATTTGATTTGGGGGTGGTTGTGCGATGTGATGATGTCGGTGTTGAGTGGTTCGGCGCCAAGCTCTGTGGTTCGCCATGAGGTTTGGCGCCTCATGTTGTTTCTTGGTTCGTGGTCTTGGTACTACCGCACAGTAAAAGGCTCGGCACAGTCCTGTAAAGAGCCGATTTGACAACGTGCAAAGCAAAGAAGATTTCCTTTAGGCTTCTTGTACCCGAGGTGCATTCTCGCTCACACGGGCGCATGCACAAAGCCCCTTCGCTTTTCCCCCTGCAATCGAAGCGCGCCGAAGGCACTCTCGGTACTGGAACAGGTTCGGCATGATTGCGTCGACCGAGCCAAGCACCAACACCCCAGTCATTTCTTCGTCACGGAGTGCCGTGGTACCCACAATAGTGCAAGGATTTCAATCAGAAAGTGCACGAGGCATGCGGAAGTAACTTCAAGAACAAAAATCTCCCTCTGTTTGTCAATCATGATAAAGTCTCACTGAAGCAAGTGAAATGAGTTTCCATGACATTGAAATTTCTAACCCCTATGTCACGACCAAGTCTGCAACTTTAGTGTTCGGAAAAAAATGACGACCTTGTGTGTGAAAGACAACAGTGATGGCATAAATTTGACTAAATACTGCTATCCATAATGATCATACATTTAGACATGCTGATGCTACATCGACACCATAATCGTCCAGCAGATTACCAAATTCGGTACTCTTCATATCCGCCCTAACAACAAACAAGCCATTAAATCTTGAAAAAAAGGCACACGCGTTTCTGGCACCTCGGTATTTACCGTTCTGCTTTCCACGAGGAGGTCACATCACCCCGCTCGATTCTTAGCTATTCCAGCAGCATCGTCTGCCACCGTGGCAGGCCTTCTTCCCGAGCGGGCAGCAGTCCCACTGCCCTCTCTTCCGCTCATAGCACGACCCCACACGGCAGCACATCCGCCCCCCGCAGCACGGGTACTCGTGTGTGTCCTGCCATGCACGGGTGGTGGGCGTGAGATGGGGGTGAGATGGGGGTGAGATGGGGGTGAGATGGGAGGTGAGATGGGGGTGAGATGGGAGGTGAGATGGGAGGTGAGATGGGAGGTGAGATGGGAGGTGAGATGGGAGGTGAGATGGGCGGTGAGATGGGCGGTGAGATGGGCGGTGAGATGGGCGGTGAGATGGGCGGTGAGATGGGCGGTGAGGTGGGAGGGAATGGGAGCGGAATGGGGAGGGAAATGGGATGTGAATGGGAGGGAAGATAAAATGAGAGGAAAGCGGAAGGGGAACCAGTGCAAGGCGGAAAAGGTGGGGAATCGGCGCGAATGGAGAAGGTTATAGGATGGAAACGGGAAGGGAAACGGGAGGGAGATGGGAGGGGCATGGTGAGTGGGGGTGGGAATCGGGAGGGGGAATGGAAGGAGAATGGGAGGCAAAAGGGAGAATGATGGGAGGAGGATGGGAGAGAAACGGGAGGGGAACGATGGAGACGGGAGGAGAATGGAGAGGGAATAGGAAAAGAATGGGAGAGGAATGGTGAGGGAGTGGTAATGGTATGGGAGGGTACGGAGGGGAATAGACGGTGGTACGGGGGGTTTGTTCGCGGTGCCAACCCACAGAGCAGCCGCATTCACGAGGCGAACCTGCGTGCGAGCCAGCCATCGTGCCCCCTTGGACGTCAACGACTCTCCGAGAGTGTCTGAACATTGCTCTAACATACCCTAGAGATTGCTCGTGGGGCACGCCGGGGGAGTGTCTGAGCATTCCCACACCTTGCCTAGGCAATCCGCATAATAATGTTAAAGGTATGTTGCCTCGAAGTACTCCACGCAATCCCTGAACAATATTTTAGCACTGTTTCTGCCCCAATTTTTTTGTGACGTCAAACGACGCGCGTGTGTGGAGTGCGAGTGTATGGAGTGCGAGTGTATGGAGTGCGAGTGTGTGGAGTGCGAGTGTATGGAGTGCGAGTGTATGGAGTGCGAGTGTGTGGAAGCGCCGCGCTTAGGGCAACCGGGCCTGCTTCGGCTCTTGCATGCGACGACGTGACGATACGCAGCGCCGTCAGTACTTGCTGACGGGGTGACGCAATCAGATGTTCTGAGCCCCTTTGCCCCACCGCGCGATCGAGACACGACGCACAACAAGAGTCCGCGTGACGATCCAACGTCGGCTCGTCGTACGGCTTGCGAGGACAAACCAGAGTATTCGTCGCTCGGATTTTTTTCGAGACACTATCTAGTTCTTCTCGGGACTTAAACAACGGCAGTCAGCAAGCATCAAGCCACCCATTACTCACGATGCAGCACTCGCCGCCGCAGAAGATGTCACGTGGCTGACACGTGTTTGTCCCCGTGTAGCGACACACGCCCGTGCCCTCCTCGCATCGTTTCGTGCCTCGCTCGATGCGCAGCTCTCGTCGGCTGAATTGGAGCAATCCATCCGAAGCAACGCTTTCTGAATCCGAGCCGTTGAATCGCCGATGGCTCGTGGCAGCATCTTCCTCTCCTGTCGCGTGGATGATCGATAGTGCCGCAACGCAGATGAAGAGGACCCAGCACGCCGACAACCTCATAGTTTAGGTTAGTAGGAACGAATTTCAAGGATTTTTGTACAGTCGATGAGCGAAAACGGGATGGAGCGTTAAATCTCGACAGGCAGAGACTCCGACCCAAGCACTTAACGTATCAGTGGATGGAAACGTGGCTGAAACAAAGAATGGGCCATGAAGGAATGGAGGGTGATGCTTGACGGGAGAGGCTGCGCGAAGCAACGTTGACGCATATGATTCGTTTTGTTCCTCTTTCACCCTTTCTCCTGAATCCCACATCTCGTTGAATTCTGCTGATTCCCCTCTGCACTGGGATCAATGGAACGCTTACATTTGGACCGAGCCGCATCCCGCGACAATTTTGGTTTGGAATGGGTGCGAGATCGCGCCTCCAGCGCTGTGTTCCCTCTCCTGCCCTTCTTGTGAGGCGGTGACGCAGCGCAATGCCAGCGTGGCTGGGGTGTCAGGCGCGTGGCTCTCACGCTCTCACGAGTTTGGGCCAGGAAGCATGCACGAGGTTTCAAGGAAACCTGTACGAAAAGCGTTATCCCCGTTATGTTACACGCAGTCGATTTGAAACTGCATGACGTGTTTTTTTAACTGCTAACGTGTTTCCATTCTTCCTGATGATTTGCATTGAACTATGGTAGGTGCAATACAATGCTATGGTAGACAGCAAAAGCGCTATACAGAACCCGCAAAATGATGGCAAAACATACAAACCACGTATCTAGCTGAAGTCATAGCTTTTCCTAGCAAAGCTTCCCCTAGCAACACTTGCGACCACATGCTTTCTTTCCAATAGGACAGCAACCCCACTGGCCTCGCTTATTTTGGTAGCATCCTCCTTTCTTACAGCACATCACCCCTCCACAGCAAGGGTACTCCGCAGAATCCTGCACCACACAAGAGGCGTATAAACTTGTTTAAGGAAAAATATACTCGCACGCAAAGTAAAGCCGGAATTTAATTTGAAGATTGGATGACGACTGGCAGAGAGCGATCTTTCAGGAGCCGATAGTCTTACCGTGCAGCAGGCGCCGCCGCAGAAGACATCGGGAACGCTGCAGCCAGCGACGCCAGAGAACGGGCAAATTCCGGATCCCTCTCCGCAGCTCTTGACTCTAGTCTTCTTCAACTCTCGCCTATGCGCTTGAACCTCTCGCGACGGCGCCTCCACTACGATTGCGCTTGCCCCAAGCGGTGCTGTTTCAGCGTCTTTGCTGGAGTCAGCCGCGTGAACAAGGCAAAGCCCGACTGTAGCTAAGAATAGAAAGAAAGCGGCGCGAACAACGGGTCCCATTTTCCGGGTCGTTAAAAATTCTTGCCTTGCGTAATTTCAGGCTACGAACAGGCAGATATGTGCTTAGATGAGTTGACTATTCAAGTTGAGATTGATGCTTTGAAAAAGGCTCTAAGAGGCAACCATATATATACGTAGCACTTTCAGAGCACCGACGCGAGCGACGTCTGCGTATCGAGCTGGGTTCTTGAGTCGCCATTCCCACCGACTACTAACAACGACGTCGCGAAAAACAGATGCGGAGAGCTGACGCGCGACGGGTGAACAATAATTGTGGGATTCGGGGAAGCAGCGTCTCAAACCAAGCGGAATAGGCTTTGGTTGGTCCGACCGACTTGGGATTCACGAATTTCCCGAGTCCGCTGGTGGTGTGCTGGATGGGCGGTGCGGTCCACGTACCCCGTGCCGAAGCTGGCGTTGTGGTGAAGTGTCGCACGCGTCTGGTGTCACTGCGCGCGAACAAGGTGGTGGACGGTTACATGCTGGATGGGATGAAGAAAGCCGCAGGCGGTGGAACGTTCAACCACGCGATTGCGTGCGGACGACACGGACGACATCCGTTTCGTCCGACCAAACTGACTGTTGAGCGCCGCAGGAACAACACAGACCAGTCATCACATTTCACTTGTCGGTCAGCCGATGGCTGATGTGATGGAAAACTAACACACTGTACAACATAGATCGATATAAGCAGTACCGTTTCACCTTTATCCTGAACATATGCTTAATTTGGGTAGTTACTTTGCTGATGTTACGATTCCACTGTGGAAGCAAATTTATTCAAAAAGATCTCTGTGCTATGTTAACTAGATCTGTTTGGCGAATGTACCGTATTCGTTCATGAAATCGTATGGTATTGATATATGACGCGTTTGATCGCAAGTACCAATTCTGTGTGACAGTGAACTGAGCTCTTTGTTCCAATTTTAGGTCTGGACAGATACACAATTTGGCGGGATATGTATAAACTAAATTTCAAATTCCTAACTCTGGGGAAAATCGTTCATGGTTTGTTGTGGATCCCCCTGTATCGAAATTCAGTGACTACCATACTCTGGGGGGATCTGCTTGCCCCCATGCCCCTAAAATCAAATGAAGTGCTGTGAGCCATTCGCAAAACCAAGGCTACAAAACGCGTGGCTGCAGTCGAGCGCTATCTGTACCTTACGGCCTCTCCTCAAAACTTGTGGTGTGAATCTGGCTGCGAGTTTTCCCGTGAGATTGTAGCCGCAAATGTGGTTGGAGTATGCGCTGGACCCGCAAGCGACGACGCAAAAGATGCGCAGATTGGATAAGGTCACGGTTTGAGAACGAAAAGATTTGCATTTCGACTAGGTTTTTTAGTTTTTTTCTACGACATGTGCAGGGAGGAATTGATTGCTAGCGGGCAGCTTTCAGAAGGACTTTCACGAGAAGAAGTTATTTTTGGACTGCTGGCAGCGACATGATGCGAGCATCATTGTTGCAACAGACAGATATTGCCGTTGGCCGAGGGGGAGCCAGCCAGCCTCGTCCTCACCTCCGTCGCACAGAGGCTGGCCAACCTCGAGAATAAACGACGAAAAGCCGAGGCTGGTCAGGAGGTTTGGCCTTCCATGACAGGAAGCCCGGTCAGTTCGTTCGTTGACCGGATGACGAATCTTACAAAAGTGCTGTCTGCCTACGGAACTGTACCTCAACTTCACCACCCCAACCGCAAATTCCGTCCATCCTCCCTACCCCGACCTCCCCCTTATCGCTCTGCCCTGCTTTCTGCCCGGCGAAGTCAGGCAAAGATGCAAGGGAGATGAGACGAGACAAGTGGCGCGCGCAACAGGCATGCACACCCCAGCTTTTTCTGCCCGCACCTTCACTCGAAGCCTGGGGAGGGGAGGGGAAGGCAAGGGATGGGAGAGCGAGGGAAGGAATCAAGGAAGGCGGGCTGGATGTGTGTTCACCTGGCTGTCTTTGAAATGCAGAGCACTGACTATCAGGAAGTGGCTTCGATTCATTTGTTGTTGGAGGGAAGATAAAACCTAGGTTGGCTTGAGCTCTTCATCCATTATACAGAACCGAGCCTCGTTACCAGCACCTTTCTGCTTGTTGGGATTTCATCAGCTATTCGTCGAGTTAGCGAGCTATTAGCCTGTTCGCTTAGATTGTAAGTGATTTCTCTGCTTTTGTATTCAAATTAGAAACGATCCCTTTTGCATACTCGCGAGATTAAGTACGATGGCCGCACGCGAGGGCGACGCGATACCATCGCTGGCGGAGGATTTTCCATCGCTGAAGGCCAAGTGGGTCGTCATGCAGCACGCCAAGAAACCCGCCACCATTTTCGACGACCTCGCCTTTGTGTGAGCTCCGATGACGGCTTTTGACCTCGTTAATCACTTGTGTTCCCGGGTAACGACTTACGATCCGCGTTCGTTCTATGGTAGAACCATTGCGCACCTGCTGTAACGCTTCCGCGTATTTTCTCCTGATCATCCTGTGGCATTTTTCCGCGCGTCTTATTTGCTACGCACCGTACAAATTTCGCGCATCTGATGGTTTCCGCTTGTCCATTTCTTCGTCTTCCTCTCTCCAGTCCCGAACACGACCTACTGGATGCCTCGTGGCTCGACAACGCGCACGACCTTCCGAGCAAGGCGGCGAGCAAGCAGGGCAAGCCGGCGTGGCAAGTGCATCTCAAGCACCCCCCACCCGCCTCCACCGATGTCGCCCCCTCGTCTCTCCGCAACCTCTCTGCTCCGCGGGATGCCAATCTCGAGGGACTCCTCGCCGCGCAGCTTCCGCCGCCTGGGGGCGCGGCTGGAAACGCGGCGGGGAGCGCGGCGGCGCTGCGCGAGGAAGAGATGGAGGCGTGGTTTCAGTACCCGCTGGGCGAGCCCATAGACGGTTTCGGGCGGTTGAGAGCGGTGGAGGGGCTTAGTGTCGATGACGGCGGACAGGGGTTGGAGGGCTGGCGCGCGGATGAAATCTCCGCCGTGGATCTCGCGCGGGGGAGGGCGGCTGCTGGCTCTCGCGCAAGCCTTGCGGAGTTAGCTGCGCTTTCGCAACCCGGAGCTGGCGCGGACACGGGCGCACATGCCGCGGGGCTTTGCGGAAACTCACAGGCGCAGCAGCGCGCCGAGCCGGTTGGCGTTTCCGCAACTATGGGAGGCAGAGGCGCGGGGCAGATGGGCGGACTTAACAGCATGGTGGCGGCGTCGCTGTTGGCGCAGAAGCGGGGTTTTGGCGGACTCGGCGGAGCGGAAGCCAGCGGGGGTGGCGCGGGGGAGAGAGGTGAGCGCGAGGCGCAGCTGTTGAACCACCTGCGGCTCCAGCAGCTGCAGCAGCAGCAGCACGTAGCGCAGGTGCGCGCGAGTCGGCAGCAACAGCTGCAGGGGCTGCAGCAGCAGGAGACGGACGAGGAGGCGGGGCTGCAGCAGCAGCTGCTGCTGCTGGAACAGCAGCGACTGAGGCAGCAGCACCAGATGAAGCTGCGGCAGATATGGCAGCAGCAGCAGCAGCAGCAGCGTTCAAGGCGACGAGGCTGCAGCGTTGGCGGAAGCGGCTCAGGGGGAAGCGTTGAAGAGCCAGCAGCAGTCGCTGCAGCTGCAGCAACCGCAGCAGCAGCAGTCGCAGCAGCAACACCAGTCGCAGCAGCACCAGCAGCAGCAAGTCTCGCGGTTCCCCATCCCCGCGCCTGCCGCCGCCCCGCCGCTCAACTTCTCACACTTCTCCCGCCCCGCCGCTCTTTACGGCCGCGCCAGCGCCAAGCCCTTATGCGCAACCTCTGCCGCCCCCGCGGTCTCCACCGCTCCCGTCGGTGCCGCGGGCGCGTCGTCGAGTGCGGCGGCTCCCCTCAGCGGCAACGCGGGCATCGCGGGTGTGAGCGCGCGCCTGGCGAATAAGGCCCTCGCGGCTCTTAAAACTGGCAAGCTCGCGTCACCTCCCGCGTCGTCCGCTGGCGATTCAAACGCGCTCGCCGTCGCTACTACCGAGGGTGTTCGCGATGCGACGGCCGGCACGGCGGCAACTGCGGCGGCCGGAACGGCGGCAGGAGCGGCAGGTGCGCCGGCACCGGGTGCGTCGAAGCCTCCCGCCTCGCTGAGCAACATGCCGCGCCCGACCAGTGAGTCCAACGCTAGTGCCGCCGCGATTGCCGGCGCGTCCCACGGCGTGGTGACAGGCAACTGCGTTCCAAGCGCACGGCAAAGTGCGGCGTGTCGGCCTTTGCCGTACGCCCCTTTAAATGTGTCGCGCCAGCAGCAGCTGCAGCAGCGGCAGTTGCGGGCCGACGCGCGGCAACCCGATCAAACGCAGGAGCCGGCGGGGACTGCGGCGGAGCGTTCGCCTGACGCGGGGCACGCGTCGACGGTGACGAGTACCGCACCCGCGGGTTGCGGCGCGAACGGCGCGCACAAAGCGGAAAGAGCCGCGACGGGCAGTTCCGGAATGGTGAGGCGCGCGGAGGAGGGCAGCGGAGGCGGCAGTGCGGGGGGCAGCGGTGGGGAAGGAAGCGCGGGCGGGGGCACGGAGCGGACAGGGCAGGCGGAGCGGCCTGCGCGCACTGCCAGCATCGGCGGAACGAAGGACTCGTGGCTGCCCGGAGCGAGCCGCGGAGGGGCGCGCGGAGGGCGGAAGCGGGGGAGAGAGGAAGGGGAGTACGCGCGGACAGAGGATTTGCCGGAGGAGAGCCTGGATACGCGCAGAACGGGCGCGACTGGCGCGACGGGCGCGACGAGCGGGGCGGGGCGGAGAAGCGGCTTGGAGGGCAGCGCGGCGAAACGAGCGCGCGCCGCTGAAGTGCACAACATGTCTGAGCGAGTGAGTGCACAACATGTCTGAGCGAGTGAGTGCACAACATGTCTGAGCGAGTGAGTGCACAACATGTCTGAGCGAGTGAGTGGCGGATAGGCGAGGGTGCGCGGAGAGAGGGGTGCGCGAAAGCAGGAGGGTGCGGGGCAGTGTGTATGGGAACACGGGGGGGGGGGGGGGGGGAGGATTGGGATGATTCTCAAAGGCGCATGGAGTGCGCGCGCACTGCGCTCCGCTCTGCTCCCCCTCTCCCGCTCTCTCACTCCCCGGCTCTCCCTCTCTCTCTTGCTCCCGCCCTCCCGTGCGCCCGTGCGCCCGTGCGCCTATCTGCAAGTCTCTCTCCCCTGTCCATTCCTTACCTCATCTGTTTCCCCATCTCATCCGTTCCCCCGTCTCCCCCCGCGCGTGTGGTGCTGTGTGCTTTCCCCCCCCGCGCAGAGGCGGCGGGACCGCATCAACGAGCGCATGAAGGCGCTACAGCAGCTCATCCCCAACTCCAACAAGGTGCGCCCTCGCCCCCCGCTCCCCGCTCCTCGGCCCCCGTCTCCCTCCCCCTCCCCCTTTTCCCCGTCTCCCTCGTTCGCCACCCATTCCGCGTGTTGAGCCAATGGTTGGGCGCTCGCCCGCCTCCATCGTTTATTAATTGTTCATCAACCGTTGGTCCACCGTTCATCCGTGTACCTCCATCACATTGCACCCCACCGCACCGCTCTCCTTCTCCCCTTCGTTTCCTGCATTCACATCCCTTCTGCCCCCCTCCTTCCCCTTCTCTTCCCCCCGCCCCAGACGGACAAGGCGTCAATGCTAGACGAGGCGATAGAGTACCTGCGCATGCTGCAGCTGCAGCTGCACGTCATGTCCGCGCGCACAGGCATCGCGCTCCCCCCCGCCCTCGCGCTCCCCCACCCCACCCCCCTCTCCGCCCTCCCGTCGGGCACCCCCTCCGCGGACCAGCTCCCCGCCCCTGGCGCGGCTCTGGGGGGGTTCGGACTCGGGGGAATGGGAATGGGGGGGATGGACCTGGGCGATATGGGCCTGGGGATGGGGGGAATGGGCGGCATGGGCGGAATGGGCGCGATGGGCGGACTAGGGGGATTGGGGCTTGGCATGGGGGGGCTGGGGTTGGGAGGCATGGGAGGTTTGGGTATGGGCATGGGCGCAGGCATGGGCGCAGGCATGGGCGCAGGCATGGGTGCAGGCATGGGCGCAGGCATGGGCACAGGCATGGGCACAGGCATGGGTATGGGCATGGGTCTATCGGATTTCTCGTCGCTGCCAGCAGCGCAGCAGGAGATGGGGCTCATGATGGAGATGGCTGCTGCAGGCGCCGCAGGCAGAGCAGCCGACGCCGCTGCCGCAGCAGCAGCAGCAGCAGCAGAAGTAGATGAAGCGGGTGCGGTGCAGAGGCAGCTGGCGCAGCAGCAGCGGGTGCAGCAGCAGGTGGTGCAGCAGCAGCATCAGCAGCAGCAGCAGAGGCTCATAGCGCAGCTGCAGGCCCAGCAGGAGCGCGAGCAGCTGCAGCTGCAGCACGAAGCCCAGCGGCAGGAGCTGGAAAGGCAGGGGGGCAGCGGTGGTGATGGCGGGTGTGGGGCTGTGGGCGGGATGGGTATGGCAGCCGAAGGGACAGGAGTGGGTGGAGCAGGGGAGGGCAGGCGGCAGGTGCAGGCGTCGGGGGTGGATCCCATGGAGGCGTATCTGGCACGGCACCAGCGCATGCAGCAGCAGCACCACCACTTGCACCAGCAGAAACACATGCAGCAACAGCAGCAGCAGGTCAGCGCCATGCACATTTGCCTCTCCGCTCGTCTCCTCTCCCCTCCCTTTCCTTTCTCCCCGTTCCCCCCTCCCATATTCTTTCTTCCGTCGCTTCTGCCCCCCCCCTACCCTCCCTGTCCCCCCGTCTCTTCCTCCTTTCTTTTGTAGAAGCTCTCATGTCTTTTTGGCTTCTCTTCCGCTTTCACACCTCCCTATCCCTCTCTTGCACACACCCATTCCCCTTGTCTCTGCTTCTCTTCCGCTACTCTCTGCATTGCAACGACATTCTCCTCCCTCTCTGTTTTCCACTCTTCCTCTCTGCAGCCGCTCAATCTGGAAATGTACCATGCCTTCCTTCAGCAGCAACAATAATTGCAGCTGTAATAACAGTAGCAGCCGTCACTAAATGCGCGGCCGCAAGGCACCAGGATTTCCTCAATGTTGGGAATGGTTCATATCATACCTGCTCATGTTGCACATGCGCAAGTGAAAGTAGGGGAAAGCAATGAGTGTATATATGGCATGTGTCCTATCTTTCTGACATCCTATTTTTATTATCCCTATTCGTTGCATTACCTGAATGGCAAAAATCTTATGGATATCGAATCCTCTTGTAGGCGAATATGTACACTGACTCGATCATTTTCGCAGCTAATGGCGGACTGGCGGACTGAGCGAACCACCTCTTGCGGGCTCCGAACAGTCGCCGTCAAGCGGAGGGGTGTAGAATCGCGCGGAGCGTTACTCGCCGGGGGAGGCAGAGGAAGACTGGCGGGCGATGTTACAGGCGGACCTGCGAGAGTGACGAAGGGTAACATTCGTCGCATAGAACGACATTCCAGTCATCCGTACAAGCAATCCTTCTGCGCACGCACCAGCTTTCGCGAAAGGACAGGTTGTCGGCGCCTGGACGTGAAATCTTCCCGTGAGACAAACGTGTCCATTTGATGATGCGTGCGCTAGGCTCCGTCGGTCAGTTACTTGTAGTCTGTCTCTAGAAAGCTAAGCTGGTTGACTTTTCCTACCACCTGCGCACACCTGCTCCCTGCCCTCCACCACACGCTTAGCTTTCGCACGCGCACACCGCTCGGGCCTTGCTCGCAGCCCAACAATAACGCCTTTCCTCCTAACGCCTTCCCACGCACCTCGCAGCACGAACTTGAGCCGTCTGTGTGTTTGGCGACTTGTTCCCTCCGCTAGCTGCGCGGAGAACCAGCCAGAGGACGGAGCTAGCGATTCTCGTTTCTCCGCCGGCTTTTGCGCCCAAAATTTCCTGTTCACAGCCGCGCAAAACTTGCGCCATTCGCGCACCCCGGCCGCGCGGCGATGGAAATACAGCTCGCGGCGGCAGCAGTCCGCGCGCTTGAGGCGGCGCTCAAGCGGAAGCTCGAGGGGGAAGCGGTGGGGGACTTCAACGTCGACGCTTCGGCGGAAACTTCCGCGCTCCTGAAGCGCGCGCGCGGCAACCCCGAGGGAGGCGCGGCCACGCAGAGCGGCAGGCCCGAGTCTGGCGCGGCAGGACGCACCGACGGTGTTGCCGATCTCGGGGATGCTAATAACGCGGACGCGAATCGCGCAGAGAGTTCCAGAAGACCGGCTGCGGGCGGCAGTCGGTCGGCCGCGCGAGGCGGCGCCGATGACGTCATGCCGACGCGATCTGAGCTGGAGGCGATTTGGCAGTTAGTGCACTCGGGGTACTTCGCGGGCGGCGGGGAAGGGGAGCTGCGCGAGGGGCAGGGCGCGCACGAAGCGGCGGATTTGACGGGCGCTTCGGGCAGCAGAGGAGAAGGGTCTTTGCCACGTGCCGTAGGAACGGCTGAGGTGGCCGCGCGAGAGGGAAGAGCGATTCGGAAGGCGTGGGAGGAGTCTCTTTCCGCGCAAGGCGGGGGGGCGGGCGGAGGGGTGGGGGAGCGGGGCGGAAGGGCGGATGAGTTTGCGGGCGGCGGGGGGCAGCAGTCGTCGAAGAAGGGGCAGAACCTGGGCCCCCAGGCCATGGCCGCGCGGGTGAGCTCTCGGGGGAAGGGAGAAAGGGGAAGGGTAAGCGGGAAAGGGGAGGGGGGGAGGCGGAGGACGGCGAGGAGGAGGGGAAGAGTGATGCGCCTGGGAGGGACAGGGCAGAACCTGGGTCCCCAGGCCATGGCCGCGCGGGTGAGCGCTCGGGGGAAGGGGAAAGGGGGGGCGAGGGGCCGCCCCTTCTCCATCCCTCCAACTCAGATGTGGCGTGAGCGGGTGAACGCGCGCATGAGGGCGCTGCAGGGGGTGGGGCGCACCGCACGCACTCCCGTACCCCCTCCCCCCTCACGCACTGCTGCAACCTTCTCTTCTTCCCCATCCCCCTCCCCCTTTCCGCCCTTCTCCCCCCCACGCCTCCCACCCTCCCCCTCAGATGAGGCGCAAGCGCGTGAACGCGCAAACCCACATGCACTCCCGCGCCCCTATTCCCTCACGTGCTGGCGCTACCCTTCCCTCTACTCCTCGTTCTCGCTCAACCGCCCCTTGCTCAGATGAGGCATGAGCGCGTGAACGCGCGCATGAGGGTGCTGCAGGGGCTGGTGCCGGGGGCGGCCACGATGACAACAGAGAGCGTCCTGCTCCTCGCTCTCACCCCCTCCATCTCGGCATTCCCCCCTGCGTTCCCCCCTTCCCCCTCCCCCACCACTCAGATGCGGCGCGAGCGAGTCAACGCGCGCATGAGGGTGCTGCAGGGGCTGGTGCCGGGGGCGGCCACCATGACCACAGAGAGCTTCCTGCTGGAGGCTGTTCACTACGTGCGCTTCCTGCTGCAGCAGGTCATGGTGCGTTGAGTGCTGCTGTGTTCCTGGTGCGCTTCCCCCCGGTTCGCCTCCTGCTGCTGGTGTGTGGCATGGTAGCCAAGGCTGTGTGGCATGGTAACCAAGGCTGTGTGGCATGGTAACCAAGGCTGTGTGGCATGGTAACCAAGGCTGTGTGGCATTGTAACCAAGGCCGTGTGTCATTGAGTCGACTGCCCTTCCTGCTGGAGGCCGTTCACTACGTGCGCTTCCTGCTGCAGCAGGTCATGGTGCGTTGAGTGCTGGTGTGTGGCATTCTAAAAAAGGTTGTGAGCCTTTGAGTCGACTCACATTCCTGCTGCAGCAGGTCATGGTGCGCTGAGCGCTGCTCCGCTGCCCTCCCCCGGTGCGTTCCCTGCTGCTCTGCACTTCTTTCCTTGCCTGCCGCCCGTCCTCCTCTGCTACCCCTTTTATCAACTCCCTTTCTCCTCACCCCACCTCCGGTCGTGCTGCTCTCCCTCCTCCGCATTTGCAGGAGCTATCAGAGCTCTACACCCCTCAGAACCGCAATAGAGAGGAGGGGGAGGGGGAGAGTGGGGGGGAGGCAGGGGAAGGTGCTGGGTGCAGCGTGGAGGGGGGGGCCGGGGGGAAGGGTGACGTGGACAGCGAGTTGAGGCGGGAAGGGCTGCGATTGGTGCGTGTGGATCGGCTGTTGCCGATAGTGGGGGTGGGGGGACTGCTGGATTGTATTCTAGTGAAGCAGCAGCAGAGGGAGGAGCAGCGGCAGGAGGAGGAGGGGAGGAATGAGGAGAGGGAGGAGGAAGATGGGATGGGAGGGGAGGAGGGAGAGGAGGGGGAGGAGCAGGAGGGGGACATGTTGAGAGAGGGATCAAACTCACCCCTGTCAGAAGGGTAATGAGGAAGGGGAGAGGGAGGGGGGAGCGGAGGGTGTTGTTCTTTATTGTCCACCTTATTATGGCGATCACTGTAGATCAGAATAACAGGTGAATAAATGTGGCTGGGGGAAAGGAACTTGCCGAGCCAAGCAAACAGGTTCAAGTTCGATTGCCTGGGTTTGGTTTGGGTTGGATCGGATTGATCTCTGTTTTTTTGCGGCTTTCCCTTATGTTTGCTTAATTGTGGCGGTGTATTGCCAAGTTGGATCGGCTGAAGTCCACCTGAAAATTGTCGAGAAAACAGTTGTAACGGGGATTTCTAGAATCATGGTGACCAAAATCTGTCCCTCCACTCCAACCGCTGAATCTCCCAAACCAGATTTCGATTGGCTGCCTCGAGATTCGAGATTTGCTCCCAGCACTGCCGCCAGACTCCCTTCGCTGACCACCCCGCACGCCGCCTCGAGATTAGATTTGCTGGTAGCGCGACGCGTTAATCCGCCCAATCAATCAGCCTTCGCGAATAGCCTGCGCTCTTCCCGCCGTCCGTCGTGGTTGCTATCTCATCCCTAATGGCCGCCGTCGCCGCGTCGCTCGCGCCCCTCACGTCCTGCGCCGTTCCGTCGCGGTGCGGCCTGAAACAGCGCGGCAGCTCGGCGCGCTCTGCTGAATCGAAGCCATTGGTCCACGTGTCGCCCATCAACAGGCTCAGATGCAGCTGGCTAGACGAGCGGGGAGTGTGAGTGCGCGTCGCTGTGTTCTCTTCGTCATGCCGGACTAGCAAGCGGGTCGCGCCGCTATTGCGGCCAACAGCCATCGAATGTGTTCCTGAGAAACCCTCTGATTTTGTCGTCGAATTCAACGCATCGCATCGCATCGCGTAAAGCAACCCCCACTTTCCGCCTCTCTGCTTTCCCCCATCGTCGTGGCAGGTTGTCGCACGCGATCAGTCGGTCGCAGAGCCAGTCTCGTCGCACATGTAAGTAGACGGTCGCATGACCGTGTGTGTCGCATGGCCGTGTGTGTCGCATGGCCGTGTGTGTCGCATGGCCGTGTGTGTCGCATGGCCGTGTGTGTCGCATGGCCGTGTGCATGTGTGTCGCATGGTCATGTGTCGTCGTGCGTCTGTTGTGGGTGCGCGACGCAGCGCCATGGCCCGTGGGTGGTAATAGGCGACGGTCCATCCAGGCAGCACTGGTTTTTCCGGGCAGCGGTGGGTGTGTGCGGCCAGGCTGCAGCACTCTGTGTTACCGCCTGCGTGTGCTCCCCCAAGCACAGTCCCTCCATCATTCCTGCCATATCCCCACCACCCTCCCTGCCCCTCCATGCCTCCATGCACGGCAGCAACACTCTGTGTTACTGCCCGCGCTCACCCAAGAACAGTCCCTCCATCGGTCCTGCCATATCCCAACTGCACCCGTGCCCCCTACATGCACCCGTGCCCCCTACATGCACCCGTGCCCCCTACATGCACCCATGCCCCCTACATGCACCCGTGCCCCCTACATGCACCCGTGCCCCCTACATGCACCATTCCCTTAACCCTCCGCCCATGCCCCTTCCCTGTTTCCTCTCCGCCTGTCCTTAACCCTGCTTGTTCTCCCCCCCGCCCTTCACCCTGCTTCCACTCTCCCCCGCCCTTCACCCTGCTTCCGCTCCACCTCTGCAGCGCTCACTGTCAGGGCGGCAGGTGAATCTGCAGACACACCGGCCACAGATACCGCAGGGAGCAAGCCTACCACACCTGAGGCAGCCTCGGCAGAGTCACCATCAGCCTCGGGAGTGCCGGTGCTGACCATAGTGGCCGGCTTTTTTGTCTTTGCTGTCGTGATCTTCGCGCTCTTCTCGCTCGCCAGTGCCATTCTGGGCATTTTCTTGCGCTGAAAATGTTGATCTGCGAACCGGTTTGCAAATGTTTGATAAAAGTTTCTGTATAACACCAATATAAACTGGGTGTACTATGCGAAGTTGTTTCAACCTTTTTAGTGCACGTTTGCGATTCCCGACGGTGAAATCTGCGAACCCGAGCTGACGTCGAAACTCGTCGTCACCCTCATGTTGTTCTGAGGTTTCCTGATAATTCGCATTTCACCTGGCGACGCGACTCATGACGAAGGATGACAGAAAGCGGAGAACGCGCGACGGGGACGACGGCGAGAGCGACGGAGAGGAGGGCGGGAAGGGGAGGCAAGGCGAGGAGGGAGGGAGGGAGAGGAAGGAGAGGAAGGAGAAGGAGCGAAAAGGAGGGCGACGGGAGAGAGGCGAGAGGCGACGGAAACGACGGGAGAAGAAGCGACGGTCCCTAAGCGACGATGACGCCTCGAACTCTGATTGGTCGAGCTCCAGTAGAGATAGCAGCAGTAGTGAGAGGGAGAACAGCAGCGATGCGGATTCTGATTCGTCGTCAGACGATCGCAAGAAGAAGCGTGAGCGGCGGCGGGAGAAGCGGGAGAAGCGGGAGAAGCGGGGAAAGGAGAAGGAGAAGCGGAGAAGGAAGGAAGGCGGGAGGGAGAACGAACAGGACGGTGGGTCGGCAGAGGATCAGTTGGAGCGCGATTTGCGGCGGATGATGCGGGAGTTCCCGTTGGACGTGTCGCACGACCTCGTTCGACTCCTAGAGCACGTCGACGGCGGCGAGGCGGTGGACGTTGGCGGCATCCCGGACCGCCGCCTTAAGAAGCTTCTCGGAAGCATCTTCCACTCTCTGGGATAGATTCTCAAGGCAAGAGCAAAGGCCGAGGCGGCAAGAGCAAGCGCGCCTCGTCGTCATCCCGCGCTTCGCTCTACCAGCTGCCCAGTGCGGCTCCGCGCTGCCTGCCACGTGTCGTGCCGCTAGTGGCCAAGCTGCTGCAGAATCTGCCAGATCCTGACGCTGCTGCTGCTGGGGCTGGGGCGGAAAATGGTGGCTGTGGGGGGAAGGGGGAAGAGCGCGGAGCGGGGAGGGAAGGCGGAAGCGACTTGGCGGAAGGGCGGGGGGGAAGGGGAGGAAACGAAGCAACAGTGGTGATAGGACCCTCGCGGAGGGGAGAGGGCGACGAGGAGGGCGAGGGGGATGGGGAGAGAGAGGGAGAGGGCGGAGTGGGGAGAGGAGGGAGAGAGAGGGGAGAGGCGGAGGGGGGAGAGGCAGCAGAGGCGGCGAGGAGAAAACGGTGAGCAGCAGTCGCTGGGGGGAAGCGAGAACGAGATGGTAAGAGGGGCATGGGGAGGAAGAGGGGCTTTTTGGGGGAGCGCGGGTGCGTGCTTGGAGGGGTGCGTGCTTGGAGGGGGAGCGGGGCCTTGCCATGGTTGGTTCACAGCAGCCCTGCCTGTGTGCCCCTCTGCCCTGCCTGTGTGCCCCTCTGCCCTGCCTGTGTGCCCCTCTGCCCTGCCTGTGTGCCCCTCTGCCCTGCCTGTGTGCCCCTCTGCCCCGTCGCACCACGAGTCGAGCCTGCCCTCCACACCATCCGCTCTTTCTCACCCCCCCGTGCCGCTCTTAACCTCCTCGCATCCCCCCTCCCTGTGCACGGAGGGTTATGCACCCCCATCTGCACGCATGCCCCTCCCCCCCCCTGAAGGTCCATTCCCAATTCCCCTCAACTCCTTCCAACTCCCCCAAACTCTCCCCAAATTCTCTCTCCCCCTGCAGCGGCATCGGCCCTGCCATGCCCACAGCAGCGCAGCCGGCCTTCTGACATTTTTCCCCCAGTATTCCCCCACTATTCCCCCAATATGCGCCCAATTCATTCAACTTCCCCCAACTCCTCCCCAACCCCCCCCAAATCCTCCCCAACCCCCCCAACTCCTTCCAACTCCCCCCAACTCCCCCGGTCCCCTGCAGGTGCATGGCCCCAGCCATGCCCACAGCAGCGCAGCTGGTCCGCTGACACGTCCCTCCCTCCCAGTATCCCCCCCAACTCACCCCCAACCATACCGCTGCCCCTCTTCCCCCTCCTGCCAATCCTCTCCCCTGGTCCCCTGCAGGTGCCTGGGCCCCGCCATGACCACAGCAGCGCAGGTGGTCGTCTGAGTCCTCACATGTCCCCCCCCATTATCCCCCCTCCGCCCATTCCCCCTCCCCCCTCTCTCCCCCTGCAGGTGCATCGGCCCCGCCATGCCCACAGCAGCGCAGATGGCTGCTGCAGCGTCACTCACTCGCGCCGTGGAGGAGATGGAGTGAGTGGGTAGGGGAGGGGAGTGGGTTTGGCCGTGGGGGCAGAGGGAATGGATGGGTGCCGTGAGGTTTCTGTGAGGGTAGCTGCCCTCGCTCACCACAGAAGCGCAGCCCGCGGCTGCAGCGTCACTCACCCGCGCCGTGGAGGAAATGGAGTGAGTGGGGGTGGGGAGGGGAGGGGCGGAGAGGGTTTGAGCATGGGTGCAGCTGGCGGCTGCAGCATCGCTCACCCGCGCCGTGGAGGAGATGGAGTGAGTGGGGGGAGGGATGTGCTGTGAGGGGGCCGAGTGTTGGGGGTTGGGCGTGGGCGCCGAGGGAAATGATGGGTGCAGTGAAGGTGCAGTGAAGGTGCAGTGAAGGTGCAGTGAAGGTGCAGTGAAGGTGCAGTGAAGGTGCAGTGAAGGTGCAGTGAAGGTGCAGTGGGGTTGCAGTGCAGTGAGGGGCCATGCCCACAGCAGCGTAGTTGGCGGCTGCAGCGCCGCGGAAGTTGAGGCTAATGCAAGAGCTGCTGCTTCTGAGGCTGAGCAGGCGCTACAGGAGAGCCTTGTTTGTGGGCTCCATGCCGCCCGCCTGCTCTGGCTGCTAAGGTGCTGCGCTCTCACCCCCCCATTGTACCCCCATTGTACCCCCCATTGTCCCCCCCATTGTCCCCCCCATTGTCCCCCCCATTGTACCCCCCATTGTACCCCCCATTGTCCCCCCCATTGTACCCCCCATTGTACCCCCCACCATTCCCGTCACTGCAGGCAGGCGGAGCAGGCGCTGCAAGACAGCCCCTTTGTGGGCCCCATGCCGCCTGCTCTGGCTGCTGAGGCACTCCCACCCCCAACAACAAACATCGCCCCCCCATCTTCCCCCCATCTCCCCCCCCACCCACAATCACTGCAGGGAGGCGGAGCAGGCGCTGGAAGACAGCCCCTTTGTGGGCCCCATGCCGCCAGCCTTGGCTGCAGAGGCGCGTTCACCCCAACAGCCAGCATTACCGTCCCAATATCCTACCCCTCTCCCCGCCCATGGGTTGCAGGGAGGCGGAGCAGGCGCTGCAAGACAGCCCCTTTGTGGGCCCCATGCCGCCTGCCTTGGCTGCAGAGGCGCGTTCACCCCAACAGCCAGCATTACCGCCCTATCGTCCCACTATCCTACCCCTCTCCCCGCCCATGGGTTGCAGAGAGGCGAAGCAGGCGCTGCAAGACAGCCCTTTTGTGGGCCCCATGCCGCCCGCCCTGGCTGCTGAGGCGCGTTCACCCCCAACAACCAACGTTGGCCCTCCATCCTCCCCATATCCTCCCCCTCCCTTCAGAGAAGCGGAGCAGGCGCTGCAAGACAGCCCCTTCGTGGGCCCCATGCCGCCCGCCCTGGCTGCTGAAGCTGCCAACGCGACTCAGGCGGAGAAATACGAGGAGGTGCGGGGAGGGGGAATTAGGAGGTTAGGGTGGGGGGGTGGCGAGAGGGGTTGGGAAAGGTTAAGGGGGGTGCGAGGTGTACCTGGAGAGGGAGGGAGGATGCGTCTCTGCCACTACGTGCATGCTCTGCCATGCCACACCGTCAAGCATGAAGGGCATGCATGCAGGCACCGTCAAGCATGAAGGGCATGCATGCAGGCACCGTCAAGCATGAAGGGCATGCATGCAGGCACGGTCAAGCATGAAGGGCATGCATGCAGGCACCGTCAAGCATGAAGGGCATGCATGCAGGCACGGTCAAGCATGAAGGGCATGCATGCAGGCACCGTCAAGCATGAAGGGCATGCATGCAGGCACGGTCAAGCATGAAGGGCATGCATGCAGGCACCGTCAAGCATGAAGGGCATGCATGCAGGCACCGTCAAGCATGAAGGGCATGCATGCAGGCACCGTCAAGCATGAAGGGCATGCATGCAGGCACCGTCAAGCATGAAGGGCATGCATGCAGGCACGGTCAAGCATGAAGGGCATGCATGCAGGCACCGTCAAGCATGAAGGGCATGCATGCAGGCACGGTCAAGCATGAAGGGCATGCATGCAGGCACCGTCAAGCATGAAGGGCATGCATGCAGGCACCGTCAAGCATGAAGGGCATGCATGCAGGCACCGTCAAGCATGAAGGGCATGCATGCAGGCACCGTCAAGCATGAAGGGCATGCATGCAGGCACGGTCAAGCATGAAGGGCATGCATGCAGGCACCGTCAAGCATGAAGGGCATGCATGCAGGCACCGTCAAGCATGAAGGGCATGCATGCAGGCACCGTCAAGCATGAAGGGCATGCAGGCAGGCACCGTCAAGCATGAAGGGCATGCATGCAGGCACGGTCAAGCATGAAGGGCATGCATGCAGGCACCGTCAAGCATGAAGGGCATGCATGCAGGCACCGTCAAGCATGAAGGGCATGCATGCAGGCACCGTCAAGCATGAAGGGCATGCATGCAGGCACCGTCAAGCATGAAGGGCATGCATGCAGGCACGGTCAAGCATGAAGGGCATGCATGCAGGCACCGTCAAGCATGAAGGGCATGCATGCAGGCACGTTCAAGCATGAAGGGCATGCATGCAGGCACCGTCAAGCATGAAGGGCATGCATGCAGGCACCGTCAAGCATGAAGGGCATGCATGCAGGCACCGTCAAGCATGAAGGGCATGCATGCAGGCACGGTCAAGCATGAAGGGCATGCATGCAGGCACCGTCAAGCATGAAGGGCATGCATGCAGGCACGTTCAAGCATGAAGGGCATGCATGCAGGCACCGTCAAGCATGAAGGGCATGCATGCAGGCACCGTCAAGCATGAAGGGCATGCATGCAGGCACCGTCAAGCATGAAGGGCATGCATGCAGGCACCGTCAAGCATGAAGGGCATGCATGCAGGCACCGTCAAGCATGAAGGGCATGCATGCAGGCACGGTCAAGCATGAAGGGCATGCATGCAGGCACCGTCAAGCATGAAGGGCATGCATGCAGGCACGGTCAAGCATGAAGGGCATGCATGCAGGCACGGTCAAGCATGAAGGGCATGCATGCAGGCACCGTCAAGCATGAAGGGCATGCATGCAGGCGCCGTCAAGCATGAAGGGCATGCATGCAGGCACCGTCAAGCATGAAGGGCATGCAGGCAGGCACCGTCAAGCATGAAGGGCATGCATGCAGGCACCGTCAAGCATGAAGGGCATGCATGCAGGCACCGTCAAGCATGAAGGGCATGCATGCAGGCACCGTCAAGCATGAAGGGCATGCATGCAGGCACCGTCAAGCATGAAGGGCATGCATGCAGGCACCGTCAAGCATGAAGGGCATGCATGCAGGCACCGTCAAGCATGAAGGGCATGCATGCAGGCACGGTCAAGCATGAAGGGCATGCATGCAGGCACCGTCAAGCATGAAGGGCATGCATGCAGGCACGGTCAAGCATGAAGGGCATGCATGCAGGCACGGTCAAGCATGAAGGGCATGCATGCAGGCACGGTCAAGCATGAAGGGCATGCATGCAGGCACGGTCAAGCATGAAGGGCATGCATGCAGGCACGGTCAAGCATGAAGGGCATGCATGCAGGCACCGTCAAGCATGAAGGGCATGCATGCAGGCACGGTCA